TTTTTTTTTTCATGAAAAAATTTTAAGTATAGAAGAAAACGAAGAAATGAAAGAGGAAGGCAATATTTAAAAGAACAGCTACAATTTTAGCAAAGCTACACAATAAACTATTGACAAGTAATTCGCAGATTTCTAATTTATTATTTCATAATGAGTAATAAAGAATGTGGGGTTAAAAAAATTATTCAATCAAGGTATGAATATTTTTGTTGAAAAGCGGAACAAAAAAATTCGTTAAAAATTGCTTAATGGACCAATGATTCATGCATTGTAGATTAAGAAGGGAGGGGGCCTAGAAATCGTGTTTTTTTTTCAAAACATATGGTTTGTGAAATTTCCAGAATTTTGTCGCGGCACACGGGTTGACCATCACTGCCCTACCCTATTGTAAAATACATCCATGCAAAAGCTAGGAAAGCAATTCAATACCTGAAATGAATAGCTTTATTTTCTTAAAAACATCTCAATCCATTAGGGGCCGTTCACTTTTGTATTGAGGTGTCAAACAGCTTCAGACCCCTCTCCCCCCTAAATTTTGGACGTCATTAGTAACAAGTAACATCAATTATATATTTTTTTTTGGATTCTTTCTCTTTGGGCTTCATTTTACTAGCAGATGTTACACAACCCCAGGACCCATTTATTGCTAAGAATTAGACGTCATTTATGAACTAATCGTTATCTTTTCACCCCTTTTTATTCCTCATATTTACAATCTTCCATCCTATGCCGCACATTCCACAACACATATTTCCAAGTCTACAAAGCAATAAGAAGCAGAAAAGTTCAGAACAACAAAAGCTTTCAAGAGCACTTAACTGAAAAAATTCGATGAAACCAAAAAAAAAACTCGAAAAACACAAAAGACGTATTGATAGGAAAATGAGGCAGTTAATCATTATTGCATAAAATGTATGTATTGGTACGCCATCAACAGCAACAGAACAAGGAGAAAATTACAAATAATTGGATAAAGGAGAAAAAAAATCATCAAAATGAGTCAATTAAGCGTAAATAGGCATAAGAATGAAGAAGAATTTTTCTAATAAAGAAGTTAAGAAAATGCTTTTAAGGATTCTTATTTAAGTATTGTGGATGTTGAAAGAGATTTTGGATTTGAAAAGAAATTAAGGGTGGCAAAAAATTTCATTTAATGTGGAAAAAATAATCTTTTTTTGCGAAATTGTTTAGGATGAGGGTAAATGAGCAATGAAAGCACTTACTTCCTGTGGAATTCTTCTTTTAAGCTTTTTCGGGAATTTTTGAAAGCTATTTTAATGGTCTAGATAAATGTTTTCTTTAATGGGGATTGATTTTTAGCTATGGAGTGAGTTGGGATTGATTCTTTGAAGCTTGACTGGAATTTTAAATCGATGGTTGTAATACTCTGCTTTAAAAATCATGGGGAATGATAAGATACTTGATACCTCGACTTTTGTCTATCGTTGCACTATGTTCTATCCAAAACCAAGCCACAACCTCCATTGAATGACAAAACAATGAAATTAGCTTAGCTTAACCAGAACAAAACATCTAAATCTTCATTCTCAACCTATAGAATTGTCATTCATCCATTCGCACAATCCTAAGCAGCAAACATTTATGTATGTCAAGCTTTTAATTAAATTTCATGATTCTGCAAACTCTTCCGTTAATTCATATCACATTTATGAAGTATATTCAGTCATCAAGAATGCCATTCATAAATTCAAAATGTGAGAAACGACAGCTGTGGAAGCATTCAAATGAATGAAAAAAAAAACTCTAACAATAATAATGAAAAAAAAAACTGCAGGCAAAAAAAATTGTCAACATCATTCCAATTTGCTTTATATAACTGCTTTTATTACAGCATAATATATTGTATCGTTGTTACCTTTCATTACAGCCCTATTTAGCTGTATGTTTATTGTCTGTCAAACAATTCATTATTACTTCTTCAGTAATTCAATTTTGTTTAATTACACGGCATGGTATGTAAAAAACGTGTGGAAATTGACTGTGAAAAAGATCTTTTTATTTGGAATTGTTCCTTTTATTTTGGATTGTTTTATGTGGATGTGTGGCTGTGGGAAATGTATTTTTGGATTAGATTAATTAATTTTCAAGAGATTACTTAATTATATGCTGATATCGAATAAGAATTTTACGGTTTTTTTGCAACCAAATGTTCTACAGAATGTTTCACTTATGATGGTCAGCAATAGTCAGTGTATGGTTTAAAGGATAGCTTGGCCTGCCCTACTCTTCAAGTCACAGACGAATTTTCATGTATACACCAAGTGTAAAGTGCTTGGCTAGCAATTGGGCTCAACTTGAAGGTAAGGTCAGTGTTTCTCGAACTTTTTTTGTTCACGGCACACAGATTGAGAATCACTAGATTTAGATAATAGGAGCAGAGGTCAAAAGTACGTAAAGCAGTAGTATGCAACATTTTTTGTTCCAATGCACACCTTTATGATAGGCCATGACCAAAACTGCACATGGCATACAGTTCGTAGGATTTCTCGAAATGTTCACTACTGTGCCGCGGCACATGTGTTGTCCATTACTGACGGAAAGCATTAAAGTCGTAATCAGTAATCAATTAACGATCTATTGAATAATTTTGACTGTTTTAAGCAGAACTGGTCAAATTTGATGAGAATCGAACCTACATCTAGCAATTGAGGCGTCTATAAATCCAAAACTCTGCTGCCAACAGTTTCTTAACGATCAACAACTCGAACTCCTTAAATGATCTTAGGGGCCATTTTCTTATGACTTCCAGTGGTAAAGGGGGGGGGGGCAGGGAGGATTGGTCATCAAGAAAAGAACAATAGGAATTTTTGGAAATCCATTGTTTAGGAATTTATTCAAAAACTGTAAGAAGGTCAGAATCATTACGATTAATGGTTAGATTTCATATGATTGCATTTAATACTCTTGTTTGATCAGGCTTATCAATTTAAGACATACTCTACTGCCACATCTACAAAAACACATGCTACGGACATTTCAGTGTCGAATTTTTTCGACATGTTTAAATTTAGTCGACCTAGCGTTTGTATATTTTAAAACCGTTAAAAATCTATCAATTTTAAGATTTTGAGCATTAATATTTAAATTCCTGTATTTTTCTGGGATGATTTTAGCTAAACTTAGCTAAACACGAAGCTGAGAATAAGAATCGTTTGCTCAAGACTTGTTTTTGCCAGTGTTTGCAAAAAATATTCATGAAAATTTAACGGTTTTTTGAAATTCAAAGCAAAAAATAACGGACTTTTCGACGTGTCCGTAGCATGCAAAAACATTTGATCCAATAAAAAGTAAGCACAACATTCAAGAAAAAAATCAAACAACAAGCACCACAAACTTTAAAAAAATTTAATCAAACAAAAAACAAATCCAATCACCATTCCATATTGCATTCCATTGCATCCCAACAATTTCTACGTAAAATTCAGGTCACAGTAAATCTCAATTTCACCAAGTGATACATATTGAATGTACAATTGCCATAAATATTCGCAAGGCGATAGAGCTCTAAGGCAATATTGTTGCAATTTAAATTACCATCTGCTCACCAACATTGCACATTGCATTTGTAATCTAAATGTGTCGTTCATTGATTGTCACCTTTTACAGTAATAGAACTTTAGTTTCAATCCAACCTTGATATGCTTTTTAAGCGACAATGTGCTGTAATGAGCTATACACTTAGTTTTGACTTCCAAACAATGTTAATGGATAGACAAGTTTAATTAAATGAGTAAATCTTGAAAATTGAATTAGCTTGATGAGGGTTTGTAGCTAATTTAGTCAATTAAATAATTGGATTGAATTCATAAGTTAATTCCGTAAATGCTTGACTGACAAAGGAATTTTAAGTATCTTAAATTGATTCCTCTAACAACAAAGAACCTCCGCAATATTGCTTTAAACTTTTAACAATTTATATTCATGCATAAGAGAAGCAAAAAAAAAAGTCTTCAAATATTTAGCACAAGATATAAATCGACATAAATATTGAGGAAAAAAAAGGAAAGCAGTCACATACGTACACAGAACATTTCTCATGAATACCTTTAGGATATATCGCATAAATTTATTGTTTTTCTTCAACGGAAAAAAATTTATTTGTCGTCTGAGCGAATTTCTCATGAGCTTACTACAAGAAATTGTATTTGCTCTCAAACCATAAGATGGGAATGGATGTATGTGCATAACTCATATGTTGTGAATAATATGCAAGGGGGAATTTGTTGTGAATATTTTGAGTAGTTTTGAATTTTTTTGTGGTTATTCTTTTAGTTCTTCTACTTCCTGACGATGTCTGACTAGTTGAAGACATGAAGATATCTTCGAGGAATGGGGAGAAACTGAGAGAGATTATAGTTTTAATAGATCCCCGAATAACACAAGTCGGTTAATAAAATAAATTTATAAAAAAACTTTTTAAAAAAACTACGTTTTTCGCGTAGACTAAAAAGTAGAAAATAACTTTTTTTCTTGGTTGTAAAGAATTTGGTTTTAAATTTTCAGATTATATTTAATAAATTTTTATATCCTAGTCAATATTGTTCACAAAGTTTCGAATAAGTGCACTTTGATCTTATCGTATAACTCAACAACTTAAAAACGTGGGCGCATTAATTTAAGTTTATCATAAAGTATTGATTTCACATAAACTTATTTCTTCTCTTATAATGCGCCCACGTTTTTAAGTTGTTGAGTTATACGATAAGATCAAAGTGCACTTATTCGAAACTTTGTGAACAATATTGACTAGGATATAACAATTTATTAAATATAATCTGAAAATTTAAAACCAAATTCTTTACAACCAAGAAAAAAAGTTATTTTCTACTTTTTAGTCTACGCGAAAAACGTAGTTTTTTTAAAAAGTTTTTTTATAAAGTATTTTATTTTCTACTTTTTAGTCTTATTCTAATGAAATAGAGAAATAAAGATTATAGGGGGTTTATAGGTTACAGGTGTGTTGAACTTCACTTCGTTACGTTCAACTGTTTATAGATTACAGTAGGTTTATAGGTTACAGGTGTGTTGAACTTCACTTCGTTGCACTTCGTTACGTTCAACTGTTTATAGATTACAGTAGGTTTATAGGTTACAGGTGTGTTGAACTTCACTTCGTTGCACTTCGTTACGTTCAACTGTTTAAAGATTACAGTGGGTTTATAGGTTGCAGGTGTGTTGAACTCCACTTCGTTGCACTTCGTTACGTTCAACTGTTTATAGATTACAGTAGGTTCATAGGTTACTGGTGTGTTGAACTTCACTTCGTTGCACTTCGTTACGTTCAACTGTTTAAAGATTACAGTGGGTTTATAGGTTACAGGTGTGTTGAACTCCACTTCGTTGCACTTCGTTACGTTCAACTGTTTATAGATTACAGTAGGTTTATAGGTTACAGGTGTGTTGAACTTCACTTCGTTGCACTTCGTTACGTTCAACTGTTTATAGATTACAGTAGGTTCATAGGTTACTGGTGTGTTGAACTTCACTTCGTTGCACTTCGTTACGTTCAACTGTTTAAAGATTACAGTGGGTTTATAGGTTACAGGTGTGTTGAACTCCACTTCGTTGCACTTCGTTACGTTCAACTGTTTATAGATTACAGTAGGTTTATAGGTTACAGGTGTGTTGAACTTCACTTCGTTGCACTTCGTTACGTTCAACTGTTTATAGATTACAGTAGGTTCATAGGTTACTGGTGTGTTGAACTTCACTTCGTTGCACTTCGTTACGTTCAACTGTTTAAAGATTACAGTGGGTTTATAGGTTACAGGTGTGTTGAACTTCACTTCGTTGCACTTCGTTACGTTCAACTGTTTAAAGATTACAGTGGGTTTATAGGTTACAGGTGTGTTGAACTCCACTTCGTTGCACTTCGTTACGTTCAACTGTTTATAGATTACAGTAGGTTTATAGGTTACAGGTGTGTTGAACTTCACTTCGTTGCACTTCGTTACGTTCAACTGTTTATAGATTACAGTAGGTTTATAGGTTACAGGTGTGTTGAACTTCACTTCGTTGCACTTCGTTACGTTCAACTGTTTATAGATTACAGTAGGTTTATAGGTTACAGGTGTGTTGAACTTCACTTCGTTGCACTTCGTTACGTTCAACTGTTTATAGATTACAGTAGGTTCATAGGTTACTGGTGTGTTGAACTTCACTTCGTTGCACTTCGTTACGTTCAACTGTTTAAAGATTACAGTGGGTTTATAGGTTACAGGTGTGTTGAACTCCACTTCGTTGCACTTCGTTACGTTCAACTGTTTATAGATTACAGTAGGTTTATAGGTTTCAGGTGTGTTGAACTTCACTTCGTTGCACTTCGTTACGTTCAACTGTTTATAGATTACAGTAGGTTCATAGGTTACTGGTGTGTTGAACTTCACTTCGTTGCACTTCGTTACGTTCAACTGTTTAAAGATTACAGTAGGTTTATAGGTTACAGGTGTGTTTAACTCCACTTCGTTGCACTTCGTTACGTTCAACTGTTTATAGATTACAGTAGGTTTATAGGTTACAGGTGTGTTGAACTTCACTTCGTTGCACTTCGTTACGTTCAACTGTTCATAGATTACAGTAGGTTTATAGGTTACTGGTGTGTTGAACTTCACTTCGTTGCACTTCGTTACGTTCAACTGTTTAAAGATTACAGTGGGTTTATAGGTTACAGGTGTGTTGAACTCCACTTCGTTGCACTTCGTTACGTTCAACTGTTTATAGATTACAGTAGGTTCATAGGTTACTGGTGTGTTGAACTCCACTTCGTTGCACTTCGTTACGTTCAACTGTTTATAGATTACAGTAGGTTTATAGGTTACAGGTGTGTTGAACTTCACTTCGTTACGTTCAACTGTTCATAGATTACAGTAGGTTTATAGGTTACTGGTGTGTTGAACTTCACTTCGTTGCACTTCGTTACGTTCAACTGTTTAAAGATTACAGTGGGTTTATAGGTTACAGGTGTGTTGAACTCCACTTCGTTGCACTTCGTTACGTTCAACTGTTTATAGATTACAGTAGGTTCATAGGTTACTGGTGTGTTGAACTCCACTTCGTTGCACTTCGTTACGTTCAACTGTTTATAGATTACAGTAGGTTTATAGGTTACAGGTGTGTTGAACTTCACTTCGTTGCACTTCGTTACGTTCAACTGTTTAAAGATTACAGTGGGTTTATAGGTTACAGGTGTGTTGAACTCCACTTCGTTGCACTTCGTTACGTTCAACTGTTTATAGATTACAGTAGGTTCATAGGTTACTGGTGTGTTGAACTCTACTTCGTTTCACTCCGTTACGTTCAACTGTTTATAAATTACCAGTTTTCAATGGGAAATTAGTAACGACTTTCAAAATTTTTCATTCGTTTTATAAAATTTAATTTTTTTGAAGTATTCATTAGGAAAGTACATTAAAAATCACTCGTAAAGATTTTGTGTTTATCCGAACCATTCCTACTACATAACGTGTGGATTCTTAACATAAAGATGCAAATCAAATCTATATGTAACGTATTTATAACGGATTTTCAAATTTAAATTCAATGAATATCATTCATATGTTATGCAAAAATACGTCAAGCCGTTAATAAAAAGAAAAGTCAATTTAATTAAGTTGGTGAAGTGTTATAAATAATGCAATACATTTAAAACAGCATAAATTTATGCTCAATCAATGTGTGCTAAATGCACATCGCATATTAATAGTTATTTTGCATAAATTCGTAACGGACTTGTGCTTAACGGTTTTTTTGAAAATTCAAATTTTCACTTACGAATATTCATGAAAAAATTACATGTCAATTTTTTTGTCTTACCAGAATATCTTTAGCTGCTCAAATTTATGGTATAATTAATAATTAGTAATATTAATTAAACTATAATGAATCATAAAAATGACTTTAGAGCATCACAAGTATAATATTTTAAACAAATCAAAATTTCATATCATTGACATTGGCATTTTCTCCCAAATAAAAAAGTTTTATTAAAATTGTACTATAATTAAGCATTTTGTGGTTCCAATGTGTTAAAATATTGTATTGTCACCGGGAATACGTGTGAATAAAAAAAATGAGCTCGATTGGAGCAGTAGAAGTGGTCGAAAAATTGATCGCAAGATTTGACCTCGACAGACAAATAAACAGACAGATAAGAAAGCAAGTTAAGAAAAACGTAGTAATAATAAAATGGTGCTGGCTTCGATTTAAATCGAATTAACTGACTTGTGCCGTTCAGGATCATATCACGAATCTTAGTTGCCAGCTTAGAATACTCTTAAAATGCTTATATTCAGCTTTATGTTGTGTGCTTAATATAAGGGTTTTTGGGATCGAATCCTAGTCCAAGAATCTCTCTTAAATAAGCGAAAAATTAATTATAAATTTATTAGGGTTTTTAAAATCTGAACGAGCCCCTGTTAATGACAATTAACTAGGGTTACCATCCAATTTTCATGAAAATACAGGACTTTTGGTAAATTTTTTCGAAAAATACAGGACATAGAGTAAAATTCGAAAATTAACGGAAATTTTCGTGAAAAAAATACAGGACCTGGAACAAAATTTTCAAATTTATAAAGGACAGGGTTTTGAAATACAGGACTGTCCGTTGTAAAACTACGTAGATGGTCACCCTACAATTAACCCATTTTTGCCACGACTTTGACACTTCTCTCAAGAAAAAATTCAGGCTACATTTGTTTGACACAATTAAAATCCAATCTTTGCATTTTCCCTAAAATTACTCCTATCTCATCTCAAAAAACCTTAAATCTCACCAAAACTTCTTCAAACCCAATGATCGTCATCACATTCATTGCGTATATATTGCAACTGAACTCATATATCATGATGAGGCAACTTTGTATTCATATGTCGGTTACAATAAAACATGCATCGCTGCAAAAAAAAGAGCGCACATAAAAAACAACTGAAACAATTGTAAATGTGAAATGGCTTTGTTTTTTATTGGATCGCGCAACATTATTTTCGCTCGTGCCGATACTTTGAGCAATAATGTGGCAGGGAGATAAACCGCATACACCTGGACACAAAGCTGTATATTAAGTCGAATTATTGTTGAATTTTTCTTGGGTATAAAAAATTGGATTATTTGAATTGATTGAAATTTAGGAGAATTTAAGAGAATTTTAATGATAAGAAAGTGAGAAATTGATAGGTATTTTTGCATATTTTTGGAGGGTTATTCATAAGTAATGTAAGGGCAGTTTGGAGGGTCTGAAGCTGCATAACATATAAGTGAAACGCAAATGTTGCTCTCAAGGTATGGTAACCTAGTTTGATACAGAATTTTAACCCTAGCTTGGCATATTAGACAAGTCTAGTCTAGCTATAGTGATCATGATGCCTAATTATTGATTAGAGTCACTAATCTTACTCATCATTTTAATGAGCACAAAAATAAAAATTTCTATTAAACATCATTTGCGAATTACCCCCAAAGATTTCACCAAAAGCAGATCAAGATCAATTTAATTGCCGATACTTAATTTTTTTTGCATTTCAAAGCCAACAAGAAGAAAAGAGCGAAAGAAGAATGAAAAAAATTTCACTTTCATTAGCTTTTAAACTTGTTCACGTATTGCTTGTTTTGCTTTGTGTGTATGAAAAAATAAGCATCAAGCACGTATCAATCTCTCATTACATCATACCGGTTTAAAAGTTTCCTATACAGAAAGAGAGAGAGATAATAATGTGACAAATGACGTAGAAATTCAAGAATTACATCGTAAAATGTAAATTACATTGACATTTGAATTATTCAAAGTTAATTCCTGTTTATGTTGCATAATTACGTGTTCCTTGATATCATAAATTAAGAAGTTAATTTTCTCTTTTACGGAAATTGTTTTATTGAGATGAATTTTTGATTAAATATCTTTAAAAATAAATAAACTCAACATGTTCGTGACTTGGAAAAATAAATCATTAATTTTAAACTTTATACGGTATGTTGTGCTGTAGGGTTCAATGCAGTTTATCGATATTAATTTTAATAATTTTTAATTAATTATGTAAAAAATTCTTGTAAGGTTTTTATTGATTTTGATCGAAAAATTGAATTTATTGAAAATTTATTTACATTTTTTTAAAAACATATGGATGTGAAAGTAGGGCATTTTAAACATTATTATTGAACATAATCGATCAATTTGTTGTTAATCGTTCCCAAAGTGTAGATAGAATTAACAAAAAAATTTTGTCTTAATTTTCAAACTCTTCTCAATAGCAAAACCTTCAAACAGAACAATTTCAATCTGAAAACAATATTTAAATCAAAAGAGAAATTTTTGATCTTATTTTTGCAACTTTTAATTTCTCATCTTGAACAAAAATTTCGTTTATCGAAAAGCTATTTTCAAAATTTCATCAATTAACGGAGCAGATTAATTTTTTTAATCAATGAAAAATGTTTCGTTTTATAGATTGTGCAAAATTTTGATTTTTGAAATGCTCAACTTCTTCATGATTGTTGAGAAACTTTGTGTTAACATCTTTTAGCACCTCAATTGAAATAAATATATTTTATAGCAGGAAATGAATTTTCTTTAGAAATCTTGTTAATATGTTGGCTTATAAGTTATAAACTAGAGTTTAGAGTTTGTTAAAAGTAACCTCAGACTCAGAAGATTAAGGGGTGAAGCAAAGGTTATTGGTGCTTAAGGTCAGTTTTGAAATTAAAGCTGTGTTTAGTGAACACTTTGATATGGAATTGGTTCTTTAGATTTAAGTTGATCAAACTATGCTTTTTGGAACTAATTTGAATGCATTTTATTCTAATGTTGTAGTGGTAATATTACTGAATTACTTCGATTCCTTAAATGACGTCTGAAGCCCGATGGATAACATTTGCTAATTTGCAATTGGAATCAATAATTGATCGGTATAATAAATCTAGAATTTTTGAACGATTTTGGTTAAGACTAAAACTGTAAGTGTTTTCTAGAGCTACTCTAGTCACAATCAAGAGATTTATGCCGAGAGAAGAACAAGTTGAGCTGTGACAAGATACACAAGGTTGCTTTTGATCAAACCTCAAAACCATGAGCCCTTAAGAAATTAAAGGCAAATCTGCTTCAATAATACGTTAAAGACTACACAGACCCAATTAGGAAGATGATCAATAAATCAATAAATACCAGCTAATTTTAAAAAATTGAAGTTTCTAATTTCAATCGAATTTTTTCTAATTAATCTCAATTCACCTGAACACAATCTTCATCAAAAAATTAAGAATGTAAAGAAAAAAATTCTTGGAATTTTTAAAAATAAAACGTTTAATTGACAGCTCATTTTAATTCTCATTCCTAGCTCAAAACAGACGGCGGGAGGTCTAAACACAACATGTAATTAACTTGTTAAAAAAATTACGCACTTCTATTAAATGTACTGCTTTATATTTGCTAATAAATCATATCGTTAGTCAAGCAATTAAAACTGAAATTCCTTTTTTCGAAATCTTCAACATAAATGTTGTTTGCTGGCTGCTCAAATTGCCCTCAAACTCAAAACTTTATCTGAAGGAATAATTTTTTTTACTTTCGACACAGATTTTCATTTTTAATGAAATTGAATATTTCAGTAGTAACATAAGTAGATAAAAAAAATGAATTCATGATGATAATGATGCCAACGATGGCAATGAAAACATGTGAGAATTTTCCTCATTATTATGAAATTAAAAATAAATACCGCAAGCACTGCAAGCTGAATGAATTACGATTTCAATGTGAATTAAAAGGTACAGAAGAGATAAGCGCAGGTTAAAAAGATTCATTTTCATGTTTTTAAAATTCACTAGAGAAATAAAAGTATAAAGTAAATTTAAATGGAAGTAAAAATCCACAACATACATTTTCGTTTATTTATTCAGTTTTCCTCCTTTTCTCGATTGCGGTTTTTTCTACCTTAAAATTTTTATTAAATTCTCCTTTTTTCAACTAGAACAGTTTGTATGGAATAGAATGAGTTGTGGGATGAATAAAGCTTATTGTTCCCATTAGAGTCAATTGTGCAATCATAATGTAATTGTGCAAATCACTGCGTGGTTTATTGAATCAAGGCAATAATTTCTAGACAAAAGTTTTATGATTGAAATCATAACAATTCATAACATGGCCTTTGTTGGAACTTTATTAGCATACTTTAATGGGATCATAGGTCGGTTGTATATTCATGAGTTGTAGTGAGTTTTATACAATGTTGAGTTATTGTTTGAGTGAAGATTGAATGATTCAAATGACATGATTTTGGATATAGCAAGAG